AATGAGTTTTTTGGGTTCATTGAGAACATGGTTGTTGTTCAATAATAAAATTATTCCTCAAAAATACAACTTGCCTAATAATTCTGCACTCCCTGTATAATAAAAGAGATACTCTGCCCTCCCTCCTGGCCAGCTGATCTGCTTGTCACTTACTGGAGCTTTTAGTTTTGAAAATGATGCCTGGTAATGAAAAAAAAAAAAAACAATTGACATGATCAAAGATTCAGTCTACCTATTATGCGTCCAAAAGAGGACTGTGGAACCTCCAAAATCTCTGAGACAAGTTCACATTCTGTGAGCAGGTTCTCCAGGACACAGCGGGCTAGTAAGACCTGCTCCTTAGAGCCCTGAAGCAGGAAACATACGGTCGTCTTACATTCATGATCTCCTGAATCTGACATGACCCTCACTTGAGCTCCAGACTTCTCAGTCACCTGAAAAGTTAGCATACAAAGAGAAAGAAAGACTAGCTCAATCTGTGAAACTAATTTAAGACCCGCTTGTAAAACGTGGAACTCCAAAATTGCAATTGAGAAGTAGCAATGGCATACTGAAAAATAGAAAAAATCTTATATAGGTATGCAGGGGTGAGGCATTAATTCAAGAGAGAATTTCCTCAGTGTAAATATATTCAGCTGCATACACACAGGGACACTTAGACGTTATCATATCTTCATGGTGCTAACAATCAGACTGAACTCTAAACTTGAGCTGGGAGGCAACTGAATACAGCTAAAATACAACTGAGTGAAAAAAATAACAATCCATCTCACTTCAATACTTTTTCTAACACATTAAGTAACTAAGAAATGAATCTAAGAATACATATTTACTGAATAGTATTTTAGGAAAATAAAAATTACATTAACAAAGTAAATGTCCAATTCATGGTCACTGGGGGGCTGGAACCTATCCCAGCTGCCTTAGGATGAGGCAGGGTTCACCCTGAACAGGTTGCCAGTCTCTCACAGAAAAACATTCACACCTATTAGCAATTTAGAATCATCAATTAACCACCCCCACTAATAATAATAATAATAATAATAATAATAATAATAATAACAACAACAAATTGTATTTATAAAGCGCCTTTCAAGACACCAAAGGACACTGTACAATAGGATAAAACACATAATAGAACAATGACACAATGAAGAACAATAAAACAAAAGCACAAGATACAGTGGGTTCACAGTGAATATGCAGACTTGAACAGATGGGTTTTGAATTGAGATTTAAACTGGGGGAGAGAACCAATGTTTCTTACATCAGGGAGTAGAGAGTTCTACAGCCTGGCAGCAGAGCAGCTAAAAGCTCTGCTTCACATGGTGGTGAGGTGGAAGGAAGGCACAGAAAGCTGGATAGAAGAAGATCAAAGTGAGCAGGCAGAACAGGTAGTGCTTAACAGGTCACAAAGGTAAGGAGGAGCGAGGTTATGAATGGCCTTGAAGGTGAGCAGAAGAAGTTTGTATATTATCTGGAATTTCACTGGGAGCCAGTGAAGTTCCTGAAGAACAGGGGTGATGTAGGAGGGGGTTCTGGTGATAATGCAAGCAGCAGAGTTCTGAACCAGTTGAAACTTATGGAGGGATTTTTGGGGAAGACCATGCAAGAGAGAGTTGCAGTAGTCAATGCGGGAGATAACAAGACTGTGGACAAGAGTGGAAAGAGAAGGACGTAATCTGTTAATATTGCTTAGATGGAAGTAGCCAGAACAGGTGAGATTATTGATGTGAGATTATAGGAAAGTGAAATGTCTAGGATGACACCAAGGCTCTTCACCTGAGGAGAAGGGAAAACTGTGGAGTTATTGATAGTGAGTGAGAAATGGTTCGCCTTCAGAAGGTCAGATTTGGTGCCAATAAGGAGGATTTCAGTTTTATCCTCATTGAGCTTTAGAAAATTAGAGGACGGTGATGTCATCAGAGAGGGACCGGCGCTCAGCATTGCAGAGTGAGCACAAGGAAAGCGGCGGGGCCAGACAGCATCACCGGCCATCTGCTGCGGTGCTGTGCTGACCAGCTAGAAGGTGTGTTCACTTCGATTTTAATGAGTCCCTGGCGAAGTCTGTGGTCCCCACATGCTTCAAGAGATCAAGCCCTCATGCCTGAATGACTACCGGCCAGTTGCACTGACCTGAAGAAAACCATCTCCTCTTCCATCCCAGACACCACAGATCCGCTCCAGTTCGCCTACCGACCCAACAGATCCACGGAGGACGCCATCGCCCACGTCCTGCACACAACCCTTAGCCACGTGAACAAGAAACAGGGTAACTATCTAAGAATGCCATCTCCAACAACGATGGATGAAGTGAAGAATCTGCTCAAAGACGGCAAGACCAAGGAGCTGGTGGTGGACTTAAGAAGGAGTCAGCACAGAGACTACAAGCCCATTATCATTAATGGAGCTCCAGTAGAGTGTGCAGTCCTTCAAGTATCTCGGTGTCCACATCTCCTCAGACCTGACATGGGCTGCCCACATTCAGGTCCAGACCAAAAAGGCTAGGCAGCGCCTGTATCACCTACGACAACTGAGGAAGTTCAGGGTCTCTCCAGTGATCCTCAGGACTTTCTATACAGGCACTGTGGAGAGAATCCTCACACAGAACATCACATGCTGGTATGAAAACAGCGGTGTCAAGGATAAAAAAAAACTCTCCAGAAAGTAATCCATATGGCAGAACGCTGCTGCAGGACTGCTCTCCCTTCCCTACAGGAAATTTACGTCAAGAGATGCTGAACTAGAGCAACTGAGATTTTGAAGGACCCGTCCCATCCCAGCAACAAACTGTTCCCGCTTCTGAAATCAGGCAGAAGGTTCTCCACCATCTGAACAAAAACAGAGAGGCTCAAGAGGAGTTTTTGTCCTCAGGCCATTCGTGTGTCGAATCAGCAATCACCCTTAAGTGACTGAGACAGGACTCATTACCACATTCTCATATCATCCTGATCTTTCTGGCCTCACTATAGCACAGGAGACTTTAACACCCTTCCCACGCAATGTACACAAGCTGTAAATTTCCAGATTGTTTCATTTTATTTTATTTTATTTCTATTTATATAATGTACATAACTCACCCACTTGCTGCACATAATGTCCTCTTTGCATATACTCATTCACTGTATACAAAGTTCTGTCTGTCTCGCTCTTTTTTTCTTTGCACAGTCGAGGAACGTATCAGGTCACATTTCACTGCGTGTTACACCTGTATAACCATGCACGTGACAAATAAAGAATATTGAATCTTGAATCTGAATCTGAGATAAACCAGGATTTTAATTCGGATAGACATTCTGTAAGGGAAGAAGGTGGGAGGGAGGAATCAGGTCTGTAGGAAAGATATAACTGGGTGTCATCAGAAAAACAGTGAAAGTGAAGATCAAATTCTAGAGGGAGGATGTATATTATGAAGAGATGAGGGCCTAAGACTGAATCTTGGGGGTACACCAGAAGTGACGGGGAATAGACGAGAGCGGAATGATTTCAGTTGAATAAACTGGGAGCGGTCAAGGAGATATGATTGAAACCAGGCTAGGGGTGTGTCAGAGATGCCGAGAGAGGAAAGTCTGCTTAGAAGGACGGAGTGAGAGATGGTGTCGAAGGCTGAGTTCAGATCCAAAAGGGCGAGAATGTCAAGAAGACCAGTGATCTTCTCGACATTAGTGACTTTAGGTAAAGCAGTTTCTGTACTGTGACATGAACGAAAACCAGATGTCGATGTTATTATTAACCAGTTGTGAATAAAGTTGCAACTACTTTTCCGAGTATTTTAGAGATGAAGGGTAGATTAGAAATCGGATGGATGTTGTTAAAGTTGTTAGGATCTAAAGAACGTTTTATCAGTATAGACTGCCCTGTATTTGGCTCCATCCATCTTCCCATCAACTCTGACCAGCTTCCCTGTCCTGCTGAAGAGAAGCACCCCAGAGCATGATGCTGCCACCGCCATATTTGACAGTGGGGATGGTTCAGAGTGATGTGCAGTGTTAGTTTTTTGCCACACACAGCGTTTTGCATTTTGGCCAAAAAGTTCCATTTTGGTCTCATCTGACCAGAGCAGCTTCTTCCACATGTTGGCTGTGTCCCCCACATGGCTTGTGGCAAACTGCAAAGGGACTTCTTATGGTTTTCTGTTAACAATGGCTTTCTTCTTGCCACTGCAGTGCACGACTAATAGTTGTCCTATGGACAGATTCCCCCACCTGAGCTGTAGATCTCTGCAGCTCGTCCAGAGTCACCATGGGCCTCTTGGCTGCATTTCTGATCAGCGCTCTCCTTGTTCGGCCTGTGAGTTTAGGTGGACGGCCTTGTCTTGGTAGGTTTACAGTTGTGCCATACTCCTTCCATTTCTGAATGATCGCTTAAACAGTGCTCCGTGGGATGTTCAAGGCTTGGGAAATCTTTTTGTAGCCTAAGCCTGCTTTAAATTTCTCAATAACTTTATCCCTGACCTGTCTGGTGTGTTCTTTGGACTTCATGGTGTTGTTGCTCCCAGTATTCTCTTAGACAACCTCTGAGGCCAACCTCAGGGCAGTTGTGGAGCTGGTAGAGACAGACCCTAAAAGACTGGCAGCTGTAATTGCAGCAAAAGGTGGTTCTACAAAGTATTGACTCAGGGGGCTGAATAATTACGCACACCCCACTTTTCAGTTATTTATTTGTAAAAAATGTTTGGAATCATGAATGATTTTTGTTCCACTTCTCACATATACACCACTTTGTGTTGGTCTTTCACGTGGAATTCCAATAAAATTGATTCATGTTTGTGGCTGTAATGTGACAAAATGTGGAAAAGTTCAAGGGGGCCGAATACTTTTGCAAGCCACTGTATCTATGCTCTAGCTGCGCAAGCTTTGGCCTTCAATGCTCGGAGTTCATAGGTAAAACCAGGGAGCAGAGCGAGTGAAGGAAACAGAGTGAGTTTTTACAGGAGCCAGAGAATCAAGGACATTGAGTAAACAATTTTTATAATATAATAACAAATCATCAGGAGCAGAATAGAAGTCCGGAATCTGAATATTGTCCAGTCTGGTAGTGAGAATGTCCATACAATGTTCTTGATGTTGTGGAATGAGATGAGACGGTTTGGTTTGGTAGAAGAGCAGCTGAGACTGAAGGTAAATGAAAGGAGGAAATGGTCAGTTATGGGAATTTTAGCAGCAGAAAGATTCGAGGGAGTAAGACCAGAACAGCAAATCAAGTCCAAGGTGTGCCCTTTGGAGTGAGTGGGAAAAGTCAATAAATTGTTTAAATTCAAAGCCCTCGAGACAGGGGGGAAAGTCTCTGGTGAGCAGAAGGTCATTATTATATATTCATATTATTATATATGAATGCTGAAATCTCCCACCAAGATAACATTTGGGGAGAGAGATGAAGGATGGGTTAGCAGATTAGCAAAGTCACTGAGGAAGACAGGGTTAGGTTTTGGGGGGTGTACAGTAGCTATGATGGTGGGAATGGGTCCAGTCAGCTCACATGCAAGGCACTCTAGGGAGCTAAAGGTATGAACATTAACTGGCAGGACCTTCAAGTGCTGACGAAAAATGATCGCGAGACCACCCCCACGACCTGAGCAGCGAGGTTTAGAAAAGCAAACAAACCCCGGAGGAGTAGATTCATTTAGCGGAGAAAAGTCATCAGGTTGTTGCCAGGTTTCAGTTAAACAGAAAAAGTCAGACTTATTGCAGAGTACCAAGAGAGAACCCACACAAACACAAAGTCCCCAGCCAGTTGGTGGATTTGAACTCAGGACCTTCGTGCTGTGAGATAACAGTGCTAACCACCATGTTGCCACAAAATAAATGCATTCCAGTTATTTCCACTCATTTACAATAAACGTTCAACCACACGGAACAAGCAACAAAGAAGCAGACAGTGAAAAAGTCTGAACAACTCACCATGTCTAAAAATGTGGCTTGGCATCGGTACATGTTCCTGTACACCTCTATAGGAAGCGTCATCTTGGACACCTCAGTGTTGGGACCCTGATCTGTTAATATCAATCATATACAGATAAGCTCATAATAAAATAAAATCTATTAATTATCATACACAAGTTAGGTTTGGAATGATACCTGTTCAATGGGAGATACTTACTGCTCTTGGTGCCGTTTATGTGGCGATAGATGATGTAGCCCAGAGTGGCCCCGACGGAAAGCCCTGCAGCCAGAGCCACTATTTTCCCAGAGCTCAAGCTGGTCTTATGACCTTCCTTCACTGCATCCATGACACCTTGTGCACCCTGCAGGATGCTTTACCTAAACACACACACGACACAAGTCTCCATCCATTGGTACTATCAGCCTTATTAATGATCTACTCCTCCTTCTTCCATCCATGTTGCCAGCTACAGTTTATAGAATGTTTTTATTTGGACATCTTATTGCTTCGTCCTGAGAATGACCCCTTATTGCAACACAGAAACTGTGGCTCTCAAGAATAGTCATCAGCACACATTGTGCCACATCTACTTTGAGCTAGGTAAACATTCATAAATAATATGATTAAGAGCAAAGAGAATTTAAATATCAGTTATTTTTATAAAGATATCTTTGTTTCAATTAACAATAAATAAAACATCAAAAAGAAAATTTAAACAGAAAAAATATATACTGTATCAGATGTTGCTAAAATTCAAATTCAAAAGCCCAGGACCTTTGAATTAGTTAAACAAAAGATTCAGGTCAGGCCACTACAAATATTCTTTGTTTTTTTAAGAGGTGGACTTTCTGCTGTTTTGGATCATTGTGCAGCTCCAGAACCCAAGTGCACTTCAGCTTGAGGTCATGAACAGATGGCCAGACATTTCCCTTCAGAAAAACAACTTCATTTTGTGTTTACTTGCGTTATCTTTGTCTAATATTTACATTTGTTTGATGATCTGAAACAGTCAAGCGTGACGAGGAGGAAGGAAGGAAGGAAATCAGGAATGGGTCAAACACTTTTTTTTTCTTTTTACACCACTATGTATATACATACACAATGCAGTACTGAGGGTTTCTATTAAATTCAGATTTAGACAAAACTGTACTTTCAAATATGGACCATCTCATTCAAAAGAGAAAAATGATTACATTGGTGTGGCTCCCAAAAATCAACTGTCTCAATGATGTTGCATGTTGGAATAACCTCACAGGTACTTGGCCAATTTGACCAAAAAAATGTAAGACTTTCTGTAAGATAAAAATAAACCGAGGATCAGTAGAAAGAAAACATGGACATTGAGACAGAGGAAGAAATATAAATATATAAACATAAAATGTGATTTTTCCCATCTGAGACGATCTATACATCTTTATGTGATGTGTGTATTGGAAACATTGGCTTGAAAAAGGAATATGTACAATGAGTAATGTTTATTTGGATGGAGTGGTTTGTCATATGAAATTATTCAGAAAAGCGTTTTGAAAAGAGACTTTCTGGCAATACTTACAAATGAGAGAAAATATTTTTAAAGGCCAATTTATCATGAACAAGAACCAAGTGAGTCACTTTTTGGATCTTTATGAAGTTGCACATAAGGCAGCTGTGCTTTATAAACTGTTAAACAAATAGAAAAAGGACACCTTCAGTACTCTGAGGATTTGGCAAAAGGACCTTGGCTGTGCAATGAGCAAGAAGAACTGGTCTGGAGTACTCTCCAATACTAATAAATACCTTTTAAAAAGGCCCATGGAAAATTCATGCCATTTCTAAAGTAATACATGGGTTTTATTTTACCCACTTATAGTTTGGATGTAATGTGCAACAATTTCTGTTGGAAATGTAAATCAGAAAAGGAACATTTATTCATGTTATTTGGGAATTTAAACAAGTGTATCCCTTTTGGGAAAAAAAAAAAATCTAGATCGTGTAGTGGACTGGTTAAGTTTGATAATACCCAAATCACCAAGGTTATGTTTTTTCTGAGACCAGTCGGTCTTACCCACTGCATCCAAATACTGCTTTGTGGTGACAAAAGCAGGTGCTTTTACAGCCACAAGAATAACCCGAAGAGTATGGAAAGACACATCCTCCCCAAATTTCAAAAACTGGACAGAAGCTGTAAGAAATTGGATCATACAGAAAATGTTGGCAAGAATTGACTATGATACTAAAAACTTTAGATCTTTGAGAGGGCAGTTTGTAGAAATGGTTGTAGGTTAGAATCTCAAGCCCAGCCTTTCTTTGTCTTTCTGTTTTTATCCCAGTTTTCTTCCACTCTCTTTTTACATAGGCATGTAGTTATGATCAGCGCATTCACGGAAAATCAAATAATGACCCCGTCTGATCTCGTTAAACAAAAAATTTAAGAACGACTTTCATGACTCACACTATTGAGTGTAGGCTTCAACCCAGCTGCCTTCTAATGAGAATCGTACTTAAAAACCCATTGAATGCGGCATGTCTTCCTAAATATAACAACGTGATAATTGCACCCTGCATGCATTTGCTCAGGAGTGTATATATTTTGGGCATTTGATAGTTCTGTTTAGCAGCAGCTTACCACTTTAGGACAATAATATAGAACAAATATTACATTTAGATTCGAATACTGCATGCAGTCTCCTCGGACCTGCTCATACAAGATAAGCTAGCTGCTGCTTTCAGCACTGACACAAGGTAACTAAACGCCACTAGCATGCTCAGATACACGATATCACAGCCTTTATATGTTTTCGACGCTAATACGATTTAGAATCAACGGCATTTTGGAAAGAGTTTCCACTCCCTTCCCACTCGACCTTACCTGTCGATTTGTTAACCTCCTAGGAGGAAGTTCTCAATAAACCGGAAACAATATTTAGTATTTAATTTTCGAATATTGAATTTTCTAATGTGCAGCAGCAAATTAGCTATTAACACTAAAAAAACACTTTATAAATAATTCACTATGAAAAATCTATTAACCACAAACGTGATTATTTAAATGAAACATTTTATTTTAAGCCGTCAACCGGAAGCCCACTTCTCGCTGTGCAAGCTGCGTGCAAGCTCTCTCAGCCCAGTGACTGTGAAGAAGAGGCGTTCCCCTCAGCACCACCTGGTGGCAACAGACAGACATCACAGACAACCTGTGTGTCAACTCTTGTGTCGAATACATTCATTTGTTTTAATATTTGAGCAAATTTGTCGCTATTCCAATATTCAAACAAAATGTAAAAAGTACAACTGCTGACCATATTTTGTACTGTCAGTGAAACCAGGTGTTTTACTGAAAAAGGTACAGGCAAAACTTTAGTTTTCTAGAACCTTACCTGAAGGTTACAATTTGGAGAGCGATCTAGGACTATTTCCTGAAGGTAAGTTATGTAGAACCTTAAGAGAACTTGTTTAAACTGTTGATGTTATGGGAGAACCTCAGAGGACCTCCAGGGAATATTGCCTTCTATTAGTGCCTCAGAGAACATATTGCAACCACTACAGCTGTCTGGAAACGTCAGTCATATTTAAGGGCATTGCCTATAGTGATAGCTACAAAAAAACAAAAAAAGACGTGTTTTTTTTTTCAGATAAAATGTAAAACTGTACGAACACATATTTTTTAATTGGGTGTAAAATTGGTGCAATATCATTCTTCTCTTAGGATGGAAAAGAGAGCTTTAAACAGACTGATGTTTTTCAGGTAAGTAGGCATAACAGGAGAGAGATGATACAGGAATATAAACATCCTTATAAATTGTCAAAGGAGCTTGCAAAGAAAAGCGTCTGGACTTCTTTAAGTTGCTTGAAGACGTTTCACCTCTCATCCGAGAAGCTTCTTCAGTTCTAAG